TTGAATAACTGTTGCGGCCGTCCAACCTCCCTGTAAGCATATAATTTTCATGCAATGGACTGGCACATTCGACATCTACCTAGAGTATAATTAAAAAAAATTAAAAGGGAAAAATCGATTTCCCAAACTTCTTTTAATTTTTTCTGTCCACCAAATGAGTGAATCTAATGGAGAAATTCGATATGTCTTGAAACAAAAAAGTTTTATTACAAAAAAGTGAGCAAAACGACACAGGCCGCGAAAAAATTTTGGAACGTTTATAGACCTCTGCAGTGTCAGCAAAAGATGCAACTCACTCTGGTCAGCCTCTTCACGGATAAAGTCGATGCCATTCCTGAAAAAGAGGAGCAAGATCAGCATAATGGTTACGACGTAGCTGATGAACATAGGGATTGACTACAAACAATTTTGCCCCATTTGAAAAAGTTTGTGTGTACCAAAAAGCTCGATATTTGGCTGGCACACACTCACTGAAAGACACCGAATGAAATTTTTACTCGTCTGTGATTCTCTGTTTAAACGTGAAAAAACTCCATTTTTCAAGAGATTGATCAGTGGTGATGTGGATTAAGAATATGCGAAAAAGATAAAGGTCTACGGACTTGGTTAACACGTAATAAAATTATGCTTGTGTACGGAGGTATTGGAAGGGAAGGCATATTTCATTATGAAATTATTACACACACAGTTAATGAAACTCGAGCAAGTAAAGACGGCTGATAAAACAGGCCGAGTCGAACTCGCGCACGCAGGGTTCGGAACCAATTTCTACAAAAACGGCAAAAAAGATGTCATGTCTGTTGTATGAGGGGCTCCCATTCAACATCCCTCCCATCTTAAATATTTTTTAGTATTCTTTGTTTATAGCTGCAACAGAAATACATCATGTGTGAAAATTTCAACTATCTATCTATGGTTCCTACAGACAGAGAGACAGACAGCGGTAATAGGGTTCCGTTTTGCCCTCTGGGTACGGAACCCCCAAAACAGAAAAGGTGTGGTATTTCATCATGAAAAAAACTTGGCGTAGTGGGGCCACTCAGCAAAAATTGAGAGAATTTTCTTGGGAAATATTATTGAATCCACGATACAGTGCTGACCTTGCACCCTCACATTATCACCTAATTTGGCTTCTTTAAAGTGATTTATAGTGACGACCTGTGCAAATGTGCGGGAAGTCGATGGATGCAGGTGGCTCAGGATCGTGCTTCGTGGCAATCTGTGGGGGAGGCCTATGTTCAGCCGTGGGCTCAAATAGGCTGAAATGATGATGATGGTGATGATAAAAGTGATTTAGGTAACTCATTCTTAAAGGAGTAACATTTTAAAAACCAATTATTTCCTTTAAAAATAACTGAACTTAGCACTAGTAGCGGCACTTGGCACTTAAGCTTATGGTTTATTATAAAAATCTCATGTTTCCAATGACTTTTTTTGATTTTCAGTGATTGCAGTTTCAGTTTTATTCTAAACAAGTGCAATGAATGGATACAACTAAACATTTATTTAACTAAAATTCGCAACCTTATCAAATTTTAAGTCGAGTCAAATTTAGCTTTTCCGCAATAATACTGGCAACTTATAAAGCGGAGCAAGCTTCCAGTACAATGGCGGGTTGGCTTTTTAATTTACGTCTGAACGAAGAAGCCCCACGCCGAAACCCGACAAGTTCTAATCGATTAGAAACATGGCGACGGCTTTTTCGGAGTTCTATGGGGGGCGGGGTGGTGGAGCTTTCTAGTGCAATTCTCCCGCTATTTGCATAACTCTTTCTTTTGACTTTGATAGGACAAAACACTACACCCACACATACACACACACTACATATTATAATAATATTTTTCTCGATTTCACTTTGCCCCTTTCATATTAAACAACGGTTCGCGTTGTCTTTACTATATTGAAAATTTTCAATTGATAACACGTCAGCTTTAATGGATTGAACTAAAAATGTATCGAACACATTTCAATAATTTATTCTCGAAAAGATCCATATTTATTATATTAAATATCGATTTATTTTAATAACCAAACTTTTATGTTTTTGCTGTTTGATCTGTCACTGAGTGACTACGGAATTCCATCTTAGCATTTAAATTAATGTAGGTATAATTCCTATCTTTTATTATATAATTCCTGTTTCTTATTGCCGAAGGAATCAGGATTATTTTGTTGTACAACTATAGGATTAAGTGACAGACCGGCAGGTCCGTCCGGGTTAGTACCACGACGTCACAGAAGACCGACGTGAAGATAAGTGTTATACTTCTACGTTTCGTCTGGTGAGTGAGGTAGCCGGGGCCCAAATTTACTTTTAATAAAAAGGCGGCAACACATCTACAACCGGTGTTGTAAAAAAATGTTCGTGGGCGGCGGTTATCACTTACCTAACATCAGATGAACCGCCAGCTCGTTTGCCACTTTATCACATAAAAAAAGAGCAGCTAATTATGTGATTTTTTATAAGCAATATTGTGTGATCCGTGTATTCTTGCCATGGAGATGTTGGGAAAATGATTTAATTGTTAATAAGTACCTACAATTAACAACGCCTACGTAGGTGCACCGTAGAACCGATAACCGTTGGGGGAAAAAGGTTCTCGAGTAGCTCAGAAGGTTGGTAGTAAGCGGAAGTGGCGATGGGCCGGCCATATTGCTCGTAGAACCAATAACCGCTGGGGAAGAAAGGTTCTCGAGTGGCAACCTTGAAATGGCCATCGCAGTGTGGGACGACCCCTCACTAGATTGAATGACGGCCTGTGCAAGTGTGCGGAAAGTCGATGTATGCAGGAGGCTTAGGGTCGTACTTCGTAGCAGTCTGTGGAGGAGGCCTATGTTCAGCAGTGGACTCAAACAGGCAGAAATGATGACGTTGAGGCACAAGTGTCCGCTAGTTCAACACAAATTAAATGAGATGGGTAATATTCAAAAAATCTCAATTTATTCTAAAACTTACAGTTGGGAATTTTCGAATATTAATATATTTAATATTAACAACGGTTGCTTTATTTTTTTATATTTCAATCGTGTAACGTTTGCCGCTTGCAAAACTGTTGTGAGTGCATACCTACATTTGGCTTGGGGAATCGAACCCACCTCTTCAGGATTCGCCCCCTGACGCTTTAGCCACTAAGCTCACCGACGACAATCTACGAAATCAACGAATCCCGAAGACGTAGCTCGATTCCCACAACGGCAAAAAACTTTTCGTACTTTTTACTAAAAATTTTAATGTTAACTTAAGATTCATTAAGTGCAGAGATTAGCACTATAAAAATTAAAAATTTGTATTAGCAATAGCGCCGATAGATGGCGATGGTTGATTCATAACACCTTGTTATTTTTTTTACTCTCTATAGAGCAAATTGTATTTTTCTTACGCTTGATACATGCGATACACTTACGCCCGGTTTCTGAAATACTGATCATCGTAGAAGTCAACTAATCAGCGGCCAAATAGCTTTTCATATGTTATTTGAGTTGCCAAAATGATTGTTATTGACTATTTGAATCGATCAGACGTTAACCTCATAAATCATTTTTTGTCCAATTATTTCAGAGCCACGCACTGCATAACTAATTTTGTATGAATGGTGAAGTACAACTGCCTCTTATAAGACCGGTGTGACGTGGAAGTTATTATAATTTATCCGTTCGACTTGTGAGTAAACAAATATAGGCCCATTTTTTATAGGCCAGCAAAGACTGCAACTCCATACCACTTAACATCAGGTGAAATACTGCTTAACACCATCGCGCATAAACGAAAGATAGGAGTAGTTTAATTGCTCATAAAATTTGAATTCAAAATAAATAAAACACAGCCTTTGATGTCGACATAAATGTTCTTATACTCGTAGGTACTTCGTTTCATCATCGTTATCTACTATCATTTCACTAAGTCTTTTATACCACCTGAATTTGACACCACAATCCGCGTCCTCTCCTTGATTAGAGTTCTGATTGTTAGCTACTTAAGTAGCTGTGAAAGAGAAGGCTAGAGGCATAATGAACGAATTTATCACGAAGCAATTTTATGTTGAAAAAATTATACAGTTGAAATATTATATATAAATATTATAAATATTTTACGCGAATATTAAATGAAACTACTTTACGGATTTTATCGCGTTTTTTATTTTGATTTAAATAGACAGAAATAAAATATAGAAATTCTATTAAATCCTTAATGATTTATTAAAAGCATATGATTCGATTTAAGCATTAATTTAGCATTAGTAGGCATCCAAAAATGGCGCACTCCCTTTCAGTAAAACTATGTATATCGCTTCCTTGATAGACACTTGCCATCGATTAAACTAAGGATATATCTTTCATTTGTTATTACTGTATAAGCCCAATTTTAAACTTAAAGTATACAAAAAGTTAAGTTAGCAGAAAGTTTGAAACGTTTGTCATTTACAAAATATGAAAAAGAATAATGTTGACAGTATTTTATTATTGCCATTAAAATTAATTTAAATAAAGAAGTAATGTACTCCTATGTAATTATTCAAATGTTTTTAATGTAAAATATAGCTATTTACATTTTATTTTAAATGCAGATAATAAATACGTGTTCAGCCTGGAAAATAATTTTATACATACCTGTTGAGAAAAACTATTAGAACTAATTTCTACTATCAATTAAATAGAGTAGTAATAAAAATGTGGACTTGGCCACCCTTAGATAACTTTAGTTATTTTTATATTAAAAAAAAAAAGTTTTGTTATATTAAATATTAATCTGCAATATTGATTACATACAAAAAGAAACATTTTTTTGAACTGCCAACATTAAATTTTTAGTGTCGATACTCGATTGTCAAATTTTATTGTCGCAAAAATTTCAGTCATATTTTCGAACAATTATTACGTGATCTCAAAAATAGTATACATTAATATAAAATCCATATCCAACAGTTCCGGTCCGCTACTGGCGCTCGTATCGGCTATGTAAATTTTCATTGGCAGTGTGTGAAGATACACATAAATGGATAATGTCGCTGCGGTCGAAGGCCCTGGCGTTAGTGGAGGTGCTTTTGCGGGTGCCACCGCTGTTCGTGGTAGATGAATTCCTAAAAATCAGTTTGGGGCTGCCGGTGTCGAACGGCGAGGAGGTGTCGGTGCTGAGCAACGTGACGATCGATCACGTAGACATAAACGAGGCAGATGCTAACTATTACGATGCGAACTTCTACAATGCGTTCTTCTTGACTTTCTTCGTATTCGTCATCTGCTGCTTAGGTAAGCATTTTTTTCTGTACAGCGAAAAGTCGTACGACCTTTAGAGCGATTCGAAGGCTGTATCGATTTCACAAGAGTTTGCCGTTTCGAAATCGCGTTTAAGTTTATTCGGCATGGTTAGTATGTCACAATGTGTACAGAACTTGAACTGAAATTTGGTTAATTTCAAATAAGACGAGGAGGATATTGATTTTGGTATAAATATACCTCATGATTGAACTCTAAAATCCATATTGCACAATAAAAACACTGAATACCTGTAACAAACAATTGTAAGACATCTACTAAGAGTTAGTTCTTTAAATCAATGGTAAACAATTTTCGTATATATGGTGCAGACTGAATTATTTGCAAAGTAAAAATTAGGATTTATCATAAATATGATGCCAGCCAATTGCACTTTTATCTGAAAATGTCACATCTTTTGTAATGTATCAAGTAGCGCAACCAATGATATTTTAACAAATACAAGTTAGATATGATACAGGCGCACCGAAACCAGGGTGCTCAATTTACACCACTTGCTGTAATTCTATTGACTGACAGCCTTTCCATATCATAATATGTTCTATGTCATCTGTCACATTCACATATATGTAATATAATTTAGAGCGTAATAATTTAATCCCCGCGCAGTATGGACATGCATCATCTTTATTATTAAAGATTATCGGTGGCAGTAATTAAACAACTATGGTTTAATTTATTGTTTTTATTTATTATTGTGGCTAAAATCATTTTATATATTTTTTTTTAGTCTAAATATTATGACATTTTGAAATACTTCAAACAAATGTGAATTCTCTACATTGTGTAGTGATAGCTTCAGCACTTAAATCTTTTGTACAGAGATTCTTTACTATCATAGAAGAAATGCTTGAAGCCTGTTGCTTGAATACTTTACACTGACTTATTTATGTACTCCCTTTTTTCCTTGATGCAATACTTATGGATTATAGTTCCAGTAACATTTTCAAGTAGCACCATGAAGTTGGTACAATTTTCAAATACTTTTGTGCAAACATCCACACACAAACACCAATACAGTACAGCAATTCACAGCTTTTTAAATGTACATGATTTTAACGCTTAATACTAATAGATTTTGTTTAGGCCAGCAAGCCATTACATGCCTTACGGAGCTTTAGTTATAGTATTTAGTTTCATGAATATATTGCTCTTCAGTTTTTTTTTTGTTTACATATTATATAAAATTTATGAATAACAATGAGTTTGCTATAATTCAAAGAGATTGCATTCATACAAAATATGACAATAACTTTCATTATCAAATTAATATGTACAAAGTCATGGCATTTATGTAAGACACTTAAACACAAGCTCTTATCATAATTTCTTTAATTACATTTTCAATGATGATGGTTATTTATACAAGCAATAAATATTTTTAAAAATTAACCACAACATTATATATGTTAAAAGTGATATATATATATAGTATAATTATCTTTAATTATACAATGTATAATAAAAAAAATATAATGGCATTCCTTTCATATTGCAGTAACTCTCAGATGTTCACAGCAATGTTTATTTTTGTTCATTATAATTTGAACTAGTAATAATATGGTTTCCCCTTAAATTAGAAATTAATGGGTCTTAAATGTATACATCATATGTTTACATAAAATATGCACAAGGTCAAGTGGAAATTGTTATAGCTTTGTGACATGTATAATGAGGTTTATGTATGATCAGGTGATTTATGTATATCTACTTTATTATTGATTTGATGATCAAACAATTTTTATATCTCTATGTCTCATATGTCTTTTATGTCTCTTAATTATGAAACAAAAACTATTATTTGCACATTTGAAGATGTTAAATGAGATAGAGGTAAAATTTCAGCAGCCCACTACTTTTATATAGCAAACAAAAGAAAAATTTAAGCGACAGATAACTATAGAGACATATCACTAACTAAGTAATCAATAAAAAAAATTGATAGTCACCTATAGTTTTCGAGAAAAAAACGTAATTAAATCTTGTTATTTTCACTAAGAAAATCCACCATTTTACTATTGTCAACATTTTCACATTTAAAAACCTTCCGTAAAACACTGTCTTGTCCACACTTAAAACATTCAAATTTCTTTACAAGAATTCATGATAACACAAAAAATTAAAAAGCACTGAACGATTTGATTTAGATTGGAATAAATTTTCATTGAAAAAATAAGACTAATACAATAATGTAGGTATATACATATTTGATTAATATAAAATGAGCGGGAAATACTTTTGGTTATAAATTTGACATAAAATTAGGCATCAAAAATAATGATACAGCCAATATGCTAATATCGATTTCAAAACTCGATTACAAATTTTATAAAATGTTTTTGTTAAAAGCCCTTAATGTTACCATGGTGTATTAAACTGATTTAAATTAAATTCGTCTTTACGTAACTCAAGCTTAGGTTTTATATGTGATTTTTATAAATCTATGATAATTAATGAACTAAGTTACATTCCAAATGAGTCACAGATCCGACACAGAGCACCACGACTCCATGTGGTCTTGTGGTCCCTACCCCTAGAGTGAACATAAAAGGGCGGAGCCAGAACCTCGCGTCGGAGGTCATCAGGGGCGACATAGCGAGTGTTCTGGCGAAGCACGTGGGAGAGTCAAACTTTACAATGAAGTAATAAATTTTGAATATTTCTTATATATTTTTACAACAACAACAAAAAATTAAAGATGTAGATTTTAAAAGCTTTGTAATTTCAATAAATGAAAATCAAAAATATAAAAAAATATGACTTCATTAATAAGCTTGACTCTCCCACGTGCTTCGCCAGAACACTCGCTATGTCGCCCCTGAGTGTCGCTTCACCCACGCTTGCTCCACTCAGGACCTCCGACGCGAGGTTCTGGCTCCGCCTTTTTATGTTCACTCTAGGGGTAGGGACCACAAGACCACATGGAGTCGGGGTGCACTGTGTCGGATCTGTGACTCATTTTGAACCTTACCTAATTTTATGATAAATAAATGTAGAACTCAATTTATCTTAATTAATAACAAGTCCTGATGACATATCCAAGGCCTGCCATAAACAGAGATAAATTATTTATTAAAATTTTAATTAAACAACTAAAATTTTGTAATTTATTTAATAATCGATATAAAATCATAATAATTAATTGATACTTAAATTAATTGATTATCTGTAGTATGTAGTATGTATGTGAATCTGTGGTCAATAGTATTATTGTTATTATTGAATTATTTTTGTTATGATTTTAATTTTGAAAGTTAAACCTTAAATATTAAAAATTGTTGATAATGCCTGCTCGCCAAGTAAAACATATGTGTTTGTGATTTGATTTTAAGTATACTGTATCTCTGTATCATCCAATAAAGTAAAAACGTGAGTTACCACTTGTATAAAATTAATGTTATTAGCGTATTAATGGCGGTTTTCTTTAGTGAAAATAATAAATTTTAATTATGTTTTTTCTCAAATACTATTAGTGTTTAGCCAATTCTGCTAATTGATTTATTTTTTAGGTATTATTATCTATATTTCTCTATCATTAAATTTTTATTTTTCTTTGCTATATTAAAGTAGTGGGCTGCTGAAATTTTACCTGTCTCTTTGATAGGGGTGGAAATATTAATTACTTTAAATAAAATTACTAATATAGACATTATTAAGATTTTAATATAAAATTAAAGAATATATCACTACATAGTATAAAAGAAAGTCGTTCCGTTGTCTGTCGGTCCCTATGTATGCTTAGATCTTTAAAACTACGCAACAGATCTTGCGGTTTTTTTTACTAGATAGAGTGATTCAAGAGGAAGGTTTATATGTATAATAGATTGCACCTGTGTGAAGCAGGGCCCAATCGCTAGTTATAGATAAATGTAATAGAACTTATACATATGGCCAAGAGTAAAACAAGAGAATAGATGTTATTTTCAAAGTGCATAAATATGTTACCTATATTCACAATTATTATTACATTCATTCAATAATCATTTTGCAAACAAAATTAGTTACATAAAATATTCAGAAAGACTATAAAAACACTTACGTTTAAGTGTTAGACCTGTTTCATCCTTTAGTGTTTGGCTGACGATTGTACACATGGATTGCCATGTTGAAATTCAAATTCAAATTCAAATTCAAATTCAAATTCAAATCATTTATTCATCGAAATAAGAAATATACATTTCATTTATCGATAGTCATTTTTTAAATCTACCACCGTTTCGTAATGAGGTTCCTCTAACGGAGAAGAAACAGGCGAAAGAAACTCCGTAGGTATCCTCTTTTTTGTCATTTTTTTTTTTACTCAACAAATACATAGTTATACAGTATATATACATTTTTTTTTAGAAATAGCTTAGGAGCGATCATCTCATTTCCAGGGGTTATTATCGTTAATGTATTCATTTATATTATAATAACCCTTTTTAAAAAGTTTTTCTTTAATAAATGTCTTAAACCTGTTAATAGATAGGCTTTGCACATTAACTGGGATTTTGTTGTAGAAGCGTATACACCGTCCCATGAACGAGTTACTGACTCTATGGAGTCTAGTAACTGGCGTCACAAGCTTGTGTTTGTTCCTAATGTTTACATTATGTACATCAGTATTCTTATTAAAATTATTAATGTTTCTATGTACATACATTACATTTTCATAAATATATTGAGAGGCCAAGGTTAAAATATTTATTTCTTTAAATTTCTCTCTCAGAGATGCATTCAAATTAAGATTGTAAATTGCTCGTATGGCTCTTTTTTGCAAAATAAATATTGTTTCAACATTGGCTGCATGCCCCCATAGCAAAATACTGTATGACATTATGCTATGGAAATAACTAAAATAAACGATTCTAGCTGTATTTACATCAGTCAGATATCTTATTTTCCTTACAGCATATGCTGCAGAACTTAGTCTGCTAGCAAGTTTGGATATATGGGGGCCCCATTGAAGCTTTGAATCAAGAGTTATTCCTAGA